GGGTAGATGAATGGATGGATGGATGGATTGGTGGATGGATGGATGGATGGATGGATGGATGGATGGAATGATGAATAGATCGTAATATCAGCTGTATTATGATTCATTAATTCTTTTTTTTGAAGTTTTTAATATCAACTCCTCTGAACACTTTATATTTAATAATGATACTTTTATTCGTATTTTTTTGTGAAAGAAACAGTGAGCAGCATGGGTCGGTGAACAAAGCATTATATGAATGAAACAGCAAATGTTATATCTGTAAAAGTGATACAGCATATCATTAGAAATAAAACAACAAACAATACATATATCAGAATGTTATTTCATATGTATTCATGTAAAACACCATCATTTATATCGTAGAAATCTCTGCCGTTTGTCAGAAACGTCTGAGTATCAGACCTCCTCAAGTTGGACATTTGACACCTGTTCCGAACTAACCTGATAGTTCGGTTACTTATGAAGTTTTTCCGTGAGAAGGAATCTTATTTTGTAGGCTGTCCTTGACATTTCTGCTTTGTTGATCAGCAATATACAACATCTTATTAAGGATCGTTGGTGCGAATCCCGACGACAGATCGTTATTCCAGATTGTTCTTCAACGACATCCACAGCGAGGTACCTAGTCCCTAAAAAAAAGTACATACCCGATAACAACAATAAAAAGGATATAAAAAGTCGTGGATACCACACCCTCTGAAATAAAAACTACACATTTCTTTACAACCATCTGATATTGGAATACTCATCAACAGACCCTAGAAACCGAAAATCATTTTTTTACAGGAGAAAATGTCTTTGATGGATGGAGCAAATATGTTGCTTAAGCGAAGAAATTCGTGCGTGACCATATCTGATTTCACTTGCAAAATCAAACGTTTTCCATATGAAAAAAATCTAGATGATCACAGTTACTATAATATTAAAAATATTTACTTCATATATATGGAAATTTATGGTAAGTAATAATGCTGATTTTGAATATGTTAACATTCTTTCGCGTTAATACAAGGATGTAGGGACCGTCAATCCGCATTGAGAACAAGTGTCAAAAGTTAAAAAAGTTCAATTCCTTATCTTAATGGGAAAACACACAGGTTTTACTCCATTGGTCGGGTATTTTCAAGTTCTCACTAAACCAGCATACAACGGTCATGTGACTCAATGTGCAACATTTTGTCTTCCGTGAGTGTTTCATATTACGTACTGTAATAAAACTTTCAAAATCACCAACCAAACTTAGGAAAAAAACTTCCTTTTTTCAACATAACTACCTTTTCCCTAATACATCATTGAGGAGGCCACTATTTACTTCGACCCTTTGTTGCTGTTTAAACTAGATTGAGGTTTGTCTATCTCTCGTCAATAACGGACGTCAAGCCCATTCAATAAATGAATCATATATTGTGACTACCAAACAGTCAACATATGCCGACAACATTGACAAGCCACGACTTCATTAACACCGATTACACCTTTATTGACTTTAATATAACAACAACCGTTTACTTTATTATGTTCGCTGTTTACAACTGACTCGAAGCGTCTTTAACTCAATTTCACAACATAACATCAATGACCATAGCATTCGCCAAAATCGAGGTTAATTTTCAACTGGCAGTACCATATCGGATCAGGTTGCCGAATAGTTTACCTTCGGATCACCCATCCACTAACGCCATCAACCCATGATTTTCTTCAGATCGATTTTCACCAAATACCAACAGCAAGTTACTTCATCTAAATCACAGTCACAACTAAAAATATGCGAGATCATTTTGTTATAAACCATAACCACAGGTTGTTTGTGTTGAGAAGGTATCTGTATGTTGGCATAAGAGGACTAACTGATATGTTATGAGCCTCATATTCAAGGGTTTGACCTTTGGCGGACATATTGCATTGTTTTCCAATACAATCCCCTTCAGTATCTATACACTTTTGAAAGCGACGTTTAAGAGCCTCAATGAAACGGGGTTTTTTTACCATTCAGAAAGTCCTTCACTGCAGGTATGACGTTATCATCTGACCGGGTACTGGGTAGCTGAAATGGCCGTTTCCTCTTTTGGAAATAGCTGAAAGTCTAATGGAGCGAGATCAGGCGAATACGGCGGATGTTCAATCAATCAAAAGCCACAATGTTAATGGCAGACTTGTGAACAGGGGCATTGTCATAGAGGAACAGCACACCTTTACTGAGTTTTCCGCGGCGCTTGAGTTTAATATTTTCTCTATTTCAATATTTTAAGAAGTGATGCATAACATACGCCATTGATTGTTTGTCCCATTTGCATATAATATACCATCAAAATACCATCAGCATCCCAAAAAACCGAGGCCATAACCTTTCCAATTGATGAAACAGTATTCGCGTTCTTTGGCGGGGTGAACCAGGGTGCTTTCATTAATTAGACTATTGTTTGGCCTCTGTGGTGAAATGATAGACTCACGTTTCATCAAGTCACAAACCTCTGCAGAAAGTTAGCAAGATCTGCCTCTAAAAGGTTCAGATTAGCATGCGACAAAGTGTGCTTGGTATGCTTCTGATTAAGTCATGGTTCCAAACAGGCTGAGAGCTTTCTCATTGCATGATTTTCTGTAAGAATGGAATGTACTGTTTCCTGCGAAATCCCAAATGTATTGACTATATATCTCTCTGTAACTCGCCTGTCAGCTATAACAATGTCATGACATTTATTGACTGGTTCCGTAGTGTTGCTACCATATCAGTATGGATATTCTTATGTGGTAGACCTTTCTTATGCAAATATTGAATCACAGCTTTTTCAGCGATTACGTCCATTTTGTAAAAGTCACTTGCCTTGTTTACTTTAGAGTGCTACCTTTTCGACATAAACTGACCAAATGACACCAGTCTTTGGTTACACAGCCTTAAATAGTGAAGGAATGAGGACATCCCTGTGTCGCTTCTTCAATACAAGGCTCAAAATGTATCAATCAGCCCTGGTAATTAGTTGTGATAAGGTTCGTACTGAAACCACAAGTACTACGTTTTTGTTTTGAGGTGAAGAGATTTATATAAAGTTACATCGTGTTACTTGATCTAAGTCACTTTCACCACTAAACATACAAAATGTTACTTCATCTAAGCCACTTTTACCACTAAACACACAATATGTTACTTCATCTAAGTCACTTTTACCACTAAACACACAGTATGTTACTTCATCTAAGTCACTTTCACCACTAAACACACAGTATGTTACTTCATCTAAGTCACTTTCACCACTAAACATACAGTATGTTACTTCATCTAAGTCACTTTCACCACTAAACATACAATTGTTACTTCATCTAAGTCACACACAAACATACAAAATGTTACTTCATCTAAGCCACTTTTACCACTAAACACACAGTATGTTACTTCATCTAAGTCACTTTCACCACTAAACATACAATATGTTACTTCATCTAAGTCACTTTCACCACTAAACATACAATATGTTACTTCATCTAAGTCACTTTCACCACTAAACATACAAAATGTTACTTCATCTAAGTCACTTTCACCACTAAACATACAATATGTTACTTCATCTAAGTCACTTTCACCACTAAACATACAATATGTTACTTCATCTAAGTCACTTTCACCACTAAACATACAGTATGTTACTTCATCTAAGTCACTTTCACCACTAAACATACAATATGTTACTTCATCTAAGTCACTTTCACCACTAAACATACAATATGTTACTTCATCTAAGTCACTTTCACCACTAAACATACAATATGTTACTTCATCTAAGTCACTTTCACCACTAAACATACAATATGTTACTTCATCTAAGTCACTTTCACCACTAAACATACAATATGTTACTTCATCTAAGCCACTTTCACCACTAAACATACAATATGTTACTTCATCTAAGTCACTTTCACCACTAAACATACAATATGTTACTTCATCTAAGTCACTTTCACCACTAAACATACAATATGTTACTTCATCTAAGTCACTTTCACCACTAAACATACAATATGTTACTTCATCTAAGACACTTTCACCACTAAACAAAAACTATACCCGTGGTTTCAATATGAACATTATCACAGCTAAACATATAAAGTCCACTATTTATATAAAAAACAAACTCAACTTTAACAACTTGTGGTTGTGGTTTATAAATACCAATATAGCATTTTAATTGTTGTTTTTAAGTGGTTTTAGAATTTATTTCACCCACCTGTTCTTGTTTGTTGGTAGATATTGTCTACCTTTTAGTTGTTAGAATCCATGTCACCTTTTATTGACGAATGCTTGCGTAAGTAATAATAAATCATTATTATCTACTCCGTCACGATTAACAGCCTTGATACACATAACATACATATTTATATCCAGGTCATTATTCATGAGGTACCATCATAATGACGTAAGATCGCTTTGTTGTCATTTGTAAAAAGAAATGTTTATGTAGCTGATTTTTATGATCTTTTAGAAGTTTTGATATTTTAAATATGAGAGAAAAGAAAACTTACGATAACAGGGCGAATTCGGATAAGTAAAACACTTTTGATATCAAAACATATTAAATTTCAATGTTACCTACACAAAATATATCGGATTAAATATATCAGTATATATTATATATATTGGATTGTAAAATACTCGGCCACCGCGAAATAAAATGTCGTAATTTTAACGAAGAAAATATTATTACGGTAACTTTATGCCAAAATATTTTTTGGGAAATCAGTTTTATTAATGCATGTTTGAATATTTAAAAAAAAGAGGTCCCTCTCTTGACCTTTATACGAATTCAATAGTGCGAAGAATTCGGCACACTTTCTGAAAAAATTAATAATCTTAAAGAAATTTTAACTCAACTATGGACTATCAAGTTAAAATATCGTGTGACTGTCAAGGGAGACAAGTAAAGTCGGCGACCTTTTGTTGAAGAATGCGATACTTGAAGCCGATTGGTTAGCCAACTGCATTATATCTACACACCAACAATGTCTACTCACATCTTGTCTACTAACCTGTAATACCCAGAGTATCCGATATCTTCAGTACTCGCGATGCCGACACCAGTTGTTTGACCTCGGGCGTTTCTGTGTTCCAAATCTTTCCTGTTTCCATCAACGATATGAAATAGATTACCATCACGTAATTGAAGGACTTTCATCAAGTTCAATTTTCCTTTTTTGAGTGTTTTCATGAAGCTTGTCAACTTTCCCTTTGGTTTAATTTTCCTTTCGAATTGATTTTTGTCGCTTTGAGACCGCCTCTCTGTATTTACAGTTTTGTCGTCACCATCGGACCGTATTTGATCGTGTTCTTCATTGGAAGCTTTTTCAGACTGTGACGTCTTGCCTGTTGTAGAAATTCTTTTAATGCTGCTATTGTCAGATTTTGAACTTGAGTCCAAAGTTCTTGAAACTATGACAGACTTTGATCTTTCACGTGGTAGTCGTCTCCTTTCTTTATCCCCATCGTCAGATTTAGATCCCTCGTCTGATGTTGACCCCTGTTCCCCGCTTTCATCGTCAGATTTAGATCCCCCGTCTGATGTTGACCCCTGTTCTCCGCTTTCATCGTCAGATTTAGATCCCTCGTCTGATGTTGACCCCTGTTCTCCGCTTTCATCGTCAGATTTAGATCCCCCGTCTGATGTTGACCCCTGTTCTCCGCTTTCATCGTCAGATTTAGATCCCTCGTCTGGTGTTGACTCCTGTTCCCCGCTTTCATCGTCAGATTTAGATCCCTCGTCTGATGTTGACCCCTGTTCTCCGCTTTCTTCGTCAGATCTAGATCCCTCGTCTGATGTTGACCCCTGTTCTCCGCTTTCATCGTCATATCTAGATCCCTCGTCTGATGTTGACCCCTGTTCTCCGCTTTCATCGTCAGATTTAGATCCCCCGTCTGATGATGACCCCTGTCCACCGCTTTCATCGTCAGATTTAGATCCCCCGTCTGATGATGACCCCTGTTCTCCGCTTTCATCGTCAGATTTAGATCCCTCGTCTGATGTTGACCCCTGTTCTCCGCTTTCATCGTCAGATTTAGATCCTCCGTCTGACGATGACCCCTGTTCTCCGCTTTCATCGTCAGATTTAGATGCCTCGTCTGATGTTGACCCCTGTTCTCCGCTTTCATCGTCAGATTTAGATCCCTCGTCTGATGTTGACCCCTGTCCACCGCTTTCATCGTCAGATTTAGATCCACCGTCTGACGATGACCCCTGTTCTCCGCTTTCATCGTCAGATTTAGATCCCCCGTCTGATGTTGACCCCTGTTCTCCGCTTTCATCGTCAGATTTAGATCCCTCATCTGATGTTGACCCCTGTTCTCCGCTTTCATCGTCAGATTTAGATCCCTCGTCTGATGTTGAACCCTGTTCTCCGCTTTCATCGTCAGATTTAGATCCCCCGTCTGATGTTGATTGATGTCCTTTATTGTCTTGATCATCGTTTTCATCACCATTCGTCGTTCTTTTCATATCATTTCCTCGGCTATTCATTTCTTCTTTATCATCATTTTGTTTCTCATTAAAAATATTGGTGTTTTCTACATATTTTTCTTCCATTTTCTTCTCTTTCTTTAATGTGTCCCTGTCCGTTGCACCGATGACATTTATTACCTTCTCTTGAAGCTCATTTTCTCCTTGTGGCTCGTCAATCATGGAAAGCATCTGCAGTGTCTCATCTTTAGAACTAGTACGACCTCTAAACGACGGATTGTCCGAGCTGGTCAGAGGTGATAGTCCACTTTCAAGTTTTACTTCAGCCTGTTGGTCCCTTGCCCGAAAACGCCGCCGCTCTCTTTTGATTTTGCACACTAATATGCATTTCAAACACCATCGTCGAATGCCGATTTCACTCGTCCACAACAGCCTGAGACAGGTATCCCGGGAGTTACACGGGGGACATGGTAACCACCTTAGCAATGATTTGTATCCGGGACCACTCTCTCTCGCGGAAACGAACTTTTCATCTAAATAAACGTAGGAAAAAATAAAAAAGGTAAAAGAAAATTGTTAAATGTTTGTGTTCTGATTTCTTACAACATGAGGCAGTATAAGAGCATACGAAGAGTGACAGCCTCAAATGTGAACATTTAGAATTTTTTTTTTTTATTTTAAAGGAAATTTTAGTAAACCAAAACCTTTCAGCATTTGCGTCCACATATAAGCTGTCTTTCCTGATTAAACTTAGAATGTTGATGTGAAACATGATCTAAAATGACTTGTTGTTAAGGAATGATGCAGTGTGATCAAGCAGAATGTTAATTGAATATGACATGCAACGAACTTGACTAAAAACAACTTTTTTTTATAAATTTAAGAAAATAAAAAAAAAAAAAAACATTTCAGTCAGTGATCACACAGAATACACACAATACCACTACTACATATCAACAGTCCGTCTCAATCTGTTCTCAAACAGATCTGCTGAAGTTGTATAATGGCGATTTCGGTATACATTCATCTTGAGAAATTCAAAGTATTGACAACAGTTTTCATGTTCCATACAGTAACTGACATACACATACATATCATTGTATAGACAATAATATTAAACATAGCAGGAAGTAAGTAAGGTATAGATAACACATCAATCAATAATAACATCAAATTAACAATATCCAATTAGCGAACTAGACAGAAATGTTGAGATGTACATAAGTAGATAATTGAGAATTTTCAAACTTTAGACATTGAAAATTTATCCCTACAATAAAAAGATACATTTCATATCACATATTGTATGTAATACTCAACATGGATATATATATATTAACTTACCAGCCAGTACTGAAGTAGCTGAAAAAACCAAGAAAGTGAGAAGTAGTTTCATATTTTTTTCTTATTTCTGAAACATCACAACCTTCCCCTGGTTCTATCAGCCCTAAGAACTAACCAAGGAGTAGTTTCTAACATTAAGTTATATTTTTTATTATTTCTGATCACGCTTTCCTGTGATCATACTCTTCATCTGTCAACATAAACAAGATGTGTGCTGCCGGGATACATATAGTATACTCGTGTCTCGTCCAGACGTGATAGTATTTTTATATCGCATAGCAACAGCATTCATCATTGTGTCACAAGGGGATAATACGGGGGGCATGTAAAACAGTAAAGAAACACGATGATGAAAATGTTAATCTGACAGGAATATTTAACAATTGATTTGAAATTATAAAGGTTTTGGAGATACATTACATAGTAATCATTTAGAAGTTATACAATGTCAAAGACACGAATTTCGTAACTTCTAAATATAAAAAACTAGTTGAAACGTAAAACGTTAATGAATTCGCATTTCAAAACATTTATAGTCAAAATGTATTTGTAACATTACCGTAAGACCTTGTGAAATCCAATCCTTGATAATTTCGTAAACACTATTTACAGAATCTACATAGATGTAGTGATAAAATATGAACAAAACAAAGATTTACAAGGACTACTAAAATGCCTAGTAGATTAAGTCTAGGTCTTCAGGACGCTTACTATTCCGGAACATATGGTGGTATTCTCCTTAAACGTTTCCGTGAGTTTCCGTGTCAGTCTTTCATTTATTCATATTTTGCTCTCATGACATCGAATTTGAGTTCGAATTAAGATTGTGATGATATGATTTTTGTTGTTGTTGGTTCAACGCCATTTTATTATGAATTATTAATGTTATGAATATACTTCAGTGATAATAAAAGCCGTTAGGGCGATACATTAGAAAAATCTACATCACGGCAAACTTAGTCAAAATAAATATCAAGGTTTGAGTGAGGGTTATTTATGATAAAGTGAATCACGTGTCTCTATAGTAGGTCTGAGTGAGGGTTATATATGATAAAGTGAATCACGTGTCTCTATAGTAGGTCTGAGTGAGGGTTATTTGTGATAAAGTGAATCACGTGTCCCTATAGTAGGTCTGAGTGAGGGTTATATATGATAAAGTGAATCACGTGTCTCTATAGTAGGTCTGAGTGAGGGTTATTTATGATAAAGTGAATCACGTGTCTCTATAGTAGGTCTAAGTGAGGGTTATTTGTGATAAAGTGAATCACGTGCCACTATAGTAGGTCTGAGTGAGGGTTGTTTGTGATAAAGTGAATCACGTGCCACTATAGTAGGTCTGAGTGAGGGTTATTTATGATAAAGTGAATCACATGTCTCTATAGTAGGTCTGAGTAAGGGTTATATATGATAAAGTGAATCACGTGTCTCTATAGTAGGTCTGAGTGAGGGTTATTTATGATAAAGTGAATCACGTGTCTCTATAGTAGGTCTAAGTGAGGGTTATTTGTGATAAAGTGAATCACGTGTCTCTATAGTAGGTCTAAATGAGGGTTATTTGTGATAAAGTGAATCACGTGTCTCTATAGTAGGTCTAAGTGAGGGTTATTTGTGATAAAGTGAATCACGTGTCTCTATAGTAGGTCTGAGTGAGGGTTATTTATGATAAAGTGAATCACGTGTCTCTATAGTAGATCTGAGTAAGGGTTATATATGATAAAGTGAATCACGTGTCTCTATAGTAGGTCTGAGTGAGGGTTATTTATGATAAAGTGAATCACCTGTCTCTATAGTAGGTCTAAGTGAGGGTTATATATGATAAAGTGAATCACGTGTCTCTATAGTAGGTCCTCTCTACCCATATTATGTAATGAAAACCAATATAAATAGGATATATACAAATACCAGTTCTCGTAATCTTTCCTATTGTCCGCCTTGATGTCAAAGTGCGATATTTAAATTTATTCTGAAACCTTAATTCCACCATTTTGATCATTCAAATCTTTACTTTAAGAACATTTGCATTCAAAGGAATATACAAATCGTGAATTCAATTCACATTTCTTTTCTTCTGTGGTAACTTTTGTTTTGATTATCACTATTATAGTTGGTTTTACTGTTTCAGATTAATGATACACATTTTAATTAATGTTTTTGATAAGAGACATTTGATGAGCTGAATATATACAGGCATTTCAAAAGCAGAATCATAAATATCACGGATGCTCAAAACTATTTAAAATAAGAAGTTGATACATCACATACTGTTCTGCAAATTTATGGAAGTCATAATTACTTCAAAATGTTATATTTGAAATGCAAATATGATGAATTAGCTGATTGATGTATTATTACCATATATTTACGTCGTATATTTATAGTTGCAATCTATGAGTACATGTAGGTAGTATAAAAACCTTCTGTTCAATGTCACATTATCTGTAATGTTTGACATTGGTTCAATGTCCTGTATTCCACGTAATCGGAAATGTTTCAATGTCATATTCCAGGTTCACCTTTATTAAAGATATGAAATATATATTCGCACTGTTCAGAGCTACCAAAGAAGTTTCCAATTACTAAAATTAGAAAGGATAAGTAAACATCTCTAAGCTTAATTAGATCAAACGTATGTGCATTTAGCGAACTTCAAAAATATTGATGTGTTTTAGTAACAGTAAACATTAACTTTATATAAGTTCATTTATGTTATAATTTCCATTCCGATAATTGAGTCACGACTTGAGCTATGTTTTCGGGTATATCATGTATCAATAACAACAAACGAGGACACATATTTTATTAAATGACGAATAACATGGCAGACATGGTAACAACAATGTCAACCAAGTTGTTCAAACATATTTACAACATAAACAATATCATCATTTTAATATAGCTAAAACGATGGAGCACAAAATCCGCCACAGAACTGCAATGCTTTCAATTATAGCAGTCCAGCGCCATAGAATATATTAATGTATTTTTTTTTTATAAATTGTAAAACTAAACATAATCTGTTATAATCTGTAAACATAAGACTATAGTATACGGGATGAGATAAAAACTGTAAACTCTTGAATTGATAATAGACTTGATGTACATCACACAAAGAAGAAATGACCATGAAAAATACACATTACCCTCCGTAAAGAGATTCAACGTCAATGATGTTTAAAGGCATTTAAATTACGAAAGAATATATTATCTTGAATAATTTACGTTTACATCTAACATCACTAGATGGAATGGATACATTTTAATATCTATCATGACGTAGACTACAGCTGTAGTTCAATGGTAATTAGTGCTAATCGTGATGTTATGAGTAATTACTCGATAATAATGATATGTCAAGAAGCATTACTCGCCTACCTGTGGTTTAAATAATCTCCATACATCACCGTTTATCATCATGTGAATCAGTCTGTCCTTGTTCGTGTGTTTTGATCGTGAAATACTTTAATATAGTCTATTACAACATTATTTATGGTTTTGTTTCCTGATGGCTGTTTGTCTTTAATTGTCATTGTTTCTGTCACGTGAGCGCCAAACCATTACCCTGACTAATATATAGAAAATATTCACAAAACTATATAAATTACTGAATACATAATTTTCACGAAACGCGAAAATGGTGATTTTTAATCAAACAAATTAATCGAGAAAAGGAATATATTTTCAGTAGAACCAGTCACGATTTATTTGAACAACGACAA